CTGTTGTTTAGGTGTGTGTTATTACAAGTTGTATTAACCTGGATCAACTCTTGTTGCTGATTTTAGTTGTGTGCTATTACAAGTTGTATTAACCTGGATCAACTTTTGTTGCTGATTTTTAGTTGTGTGCTATTACAAGTTGTATTAACCTGGATCAACTTTTGTTGCTGATTTTTAGTTGTGTGCTATTACAAGTTGTATTAACCTGGATCAACTTTTGTTGCTGTTGTTTAGTTGTGTGTTATTACAAGTTGTATTAACCCGGATCAAATTTTGTTGCTGATGTTTAATTGTGTGTTATTACAAGTTGTATTAACTTGGATCAAATTTTATTACTGATGTTTAGTTGTGTGTTATTACTAGTTTACTGCTATTCAATATGTGTTAGACAATTATTATGATGGTGATATATTATATCCTCTAAACTACTTATTTGTATACGTTTTTGTTTTGTTTTTACAAAACACAGAACGAAATAAAGATATTGTGTTTAAGTGATAAATACCTGTTTTGGTTCTAGTAGATCTAACACGTGTATTTGTTCTCCGCTGTGATCCGTCAGGTGGAGATTCCGTATCGGTACTGATATTTCCCCAAGGTTTGTGTCATTCACAATCTTCTCATCATCAAATACCGAAACTTTCACAAGGCTCTCTTCCAACTCGGACTTGGGAATATTCACAACCACTGTTTCGTTAAATAAAGGATGTTGTGATTTTCTTTTTGTGCTGGTTCGGTACTCAAAAATCGGCACGTAAAGATCTTTTGTACTTCGCTTTCGACCTCTGTTTTTATATATCTGAACTATCAAATAGGGGTCAATAATTCCACCATATAAGCGAGACGGCAACTCTTGAGCTTCCTGATGCAATCAAAATATTATTGTTAAAAGTTGCTTTAAAATTTGAACTTAAATCTAATTTGGTATATCTTGACATTAAGATAAATGGAATGCCTCAACACAGAACTATTTATGAATGACGTATAACAATAACTGAGAAAAGATCAATACCATGCCAACTGTGAAGATGAAGACATTTTCATCAACAAACATTTTTCCATCAATTACAGAAATTATTTCAAAAGTACCAGCTAGCGTATATGATGAAATTTAAGAAAATGTTTATTTGAGAGTATAACCTTAATGAACTAATTACATATTTTAGGCGAAATAAAATCAAAATTAATAATAGTAAAATATATCAACATCTGAAAGATAATGCTTCTTCTACTATCGTGTATCAGGAGCGCAAAAAATTGTCTAAAATTACACTCAGTAATTAACATTATGAAAACAGATTTTTATTACGTTTGGCCTGTATCGCATTTCCAGAAAATAATTTGAACTTCACACAGTTCACTTTCTTAAAGTTTGACAGATGTGTACATCTGAAACTATAGCCATGAATAAGATCCCCAATATGTTTCATTTATGTTTTCTCTTTTTTGGAATACCAAATTGCATTGTCCGTTTCGTTTACCATTTTCTCTAGCGTGTTAATATAAGAGTTTGTATTTCCAGTATTCAGATTAAGCGTTACATGTTTAAACTGGCTTACTTCTTTGTTATTACTGTTTAGTTGTGTGTTATTACAAGTTGTATTAAACGGGTCCACATCTTTGTTGCTGCCTGTTTAGTTGTGTATTATTATAAGGAGTATTAAACTGGTCCATGTGTTTGTTGTTGTCTGTTTAGTTGTGTATTATTATAAGTTGTATTAAACGGGTCCACATCTTTGTTGCTGCCTGTTTAGTTGTGTATTATTATAAGGTGTATTAAACTGGTTCAATTGTTTGTTGTTGTCTGTTTAGTTGTGTTATTATAAGTTGTATTAAACTGAACCACGTATTTGTTGCTGCTATTTAGTTGTGTGTGTTATTATGAATTGCATTAAACTGGACCACGTCTTTGTTGCTGCTATTTAATTGTATGTTATTAGAAGCTGCATTAAACTGGACCACGTATTTGTTGCTGCTATTTAGTTGTGCGTTATTGCAAGTTGTATTAAATTAAGCCACGTCTTTGTTGCTGCTATTTAGTTGTGTGTGTTATTATAAATTGCATTAAACTGGACCACGTCTTTGTTGCTGCTGTTTGCTGTGGCATTATTGTTTCGACAGCCGAGCCTTTCCTGTCTTATGAAACGTGTGATTCAGCCTACTGTGACACCAAAATTTGTAATTACAGAAAACTAAGCAGAATTTGTGGCACTAGCGTCATTAGTAAAGTTGTTAATTTTAAGAAAATGAAATTACTATAACTTTTGCTGGTATTTTGCGTTAGAATTTTTATTAATTATTTCGCTTACCTTCAAATAGATAATAAGCTGTCCAGTGCGTTGATTTTCTCGTTCTCTGTAAGTCACCGACAAAGACACTTGACCATAAATATTATCCAACTTTCGGTTTGTAACTGGAATATCCAATGAATGCTCGCTCTTAAGAAAGAAAATAATTTTTTTATAATCGAGTAACGATCTTACTAATTTAGAACAATGTCACACCCTTATTAGTAGTAAACTTATACCTACATATAAAGTCCGTATAACTCTGAAAAAAAATCTAAACTAAAATTCCATATCCTACTCTAAAAGAAAAGGTGTTATCATCGCCACTGATATTTTTTCGTTCGTGCGTATTACAGTGAGTGCAAAAGTCGTTCACCACCACCAAGTCCTGTCCTAACTATGAGTCATCTTTGTGTTTCACAATGTGTTTTTTTTCTTTCATTACAGTAGCGTGATGTCATTAAATTTATGAAAAAAAAGATGTGATAATGATCTTGCTGGATAATGGAGTGATCACCGGTGTACATTTCAAACAGCTATAAGGACAGGACTAAGAAAAATTATAGTGGTGTGAAACTTATACATCGCTCTGTATATTAATAAGTGTTCATTAGAAAAAAGTCACATTAGGCGAATGTATAGTGTTTCTAGATTGTTATTATTATTTTATATCTATCCAAGGCAAAAAATACGTAAATCAGTCAAAGATTTCACTGTCATTGCTAGAAGGACTCGAGAAAGAGTATAGCTTATTTCCATTTATTATCTGCTTTATTAAGAAACCAAAATAATAATGATAATAAACAGCTGAACCCGTTTGTGTTCTGACGTTATTACTAATGTTTAGTAGCCATACTTCTAAAATATAAGATACGTGCTTCAATCTTTACCTACAATTGAATAGGTTAATACCGGTTTAAGTATATTGACATGTAAAAGTTGGTTTTATTTACGTTCTAATCTATGTGGCAGTGTAACGAATTTGTTGTTATGTATTTATTTTGATATGAACGTTGTTTAGATTAAGTTTGTATTTCAAAATATGCGTAGCTTATAGTGTTAGATATGTATTGCGTGTAACGAATTTGTTATATATTTATTTTAATATCAACGTTTGTTTGGATTGAGTTTATATTTAAAAACGTGCCTAGCTTACAGTGTTAGATGCGTATTGCGAAACTCCCGCCAATTCTCGAAAGTTGTAGAATATTCGTGAAGTAAGAATCGACAATATATCCACTTCTGTATATGGTTAAATATAGCTCAGTGTTGTTGTCTGAATTTTTGAGAACATCTTTTTCCGCACTTATAAAAACAGTCAACGTGACGAGCCAAAAAGAGAGTCTCTTTGTAGTCCGCTATAAACAGTGTGCTAAAAACTCCGAAAGCTTTTTATAAAACTCATCAATCGAAAAATTAAGACATTTGACCAGGAACAGTTATAAATTTCGAACATCAGTGGATTATCATCGGACGTTAGTATCTTTCCGAAAATATTATCTTACTTCAACGGACCACCAATTCAGTGTGGTGACCAATAAAACAAAGCTAGCTAGCTTCCCGACAATCATACGTACATCTACTTGAAGTTACTTCGCTAGATATCAAGGGAATTCCAATCTAGAAGGAAGATTTGTACATTGTTTGTAAGTTAGTGAAATTTTTGTTTATGAAACTTTATTTGTAGTAACTAGTCATAATAATTGTTATTGTAAATTATACTGTTGCGTATATATTAAAACATATTTGTGTGAAAAACGAAAACTGTGTCTATCAATCTTGTTGACAGATATCGTGAATTAACTAAAATATCGGCATATATCTTTATACTAAATCCAGAATATGATTTAACTGTTAAATTTAAATTATTTAACACGGCTTCGGGACTATTTGAAATTCATAACACTTAACAGACAGTATATAGAAGAAAGAAATTTGATCTGTGATTAATATTGAGGTTAAGATGAAACTGCCTCCTTTATGCTTTCAGCCTCCAATGGCGTTATATGTTTAATAAATTAAATGTATTATCAATAGTGAACATTAAGGACATTTCTTTTGGATATTCTTAAGAGTATTACTGTTATTGTTCAACAACTAAAACTTAGTAGTCTTTATGATTACCAAAAATAACGTTATGGTTTAATTAACAGGACAAAGCTGTCTAAGATGAAATGTCCTTATGATTAGCAAAAATAATGTCATGGTTTAACTAACAAGGCAATGCTGTCTATGGTGTACTGTAAGAGTATAGCTCTCTTTATGAATAACAAAAATAACGTTATGATTTAACTAACAGGACAAAGGTGTCTATGATGAATTGTCCTTATGATTAACAAAAATAATTCTATAGTTTAATTAACAAGAAAAAGCTGTCTATAATGAACTGTAAGAGTATAACTCTCTTTGTGAATAAGAAAAATAATGTTATGGTTTAACTAACAGGACAAAGCTGTCTATGATGAACTATAAGAGTATAACTCTCTTTATGAATAACAAAAATAATGTTATGGTTTAACTAACAGGACAAAGCTGTCTATGATGAACTATAAGAGTATAACTGTTTTAATTAACATGGGATATATTTATTTCTATACATATGGTTAGAAGTATGCAAAACGCCGTTTATAATTTACAATAAGTATAAGTGTCTGTGATGATAACAGTAAGAATATTGTCTCTCGTTAGAAATAAACATAATGATATTCATATCTAATAATACTATCAACTATGTCTATGGTTTACACTAAATAATTTACTCACAATTTAAAAGTAAAAATGTTACTTTAAATTAACAATAAGGCTATTAATATTTACAATAAATGTTTATTGTCGTTACCTGACATGAGTGATATTACTGTAGTTGGTTAACAATGAATATTACGATACAGTGGCAGTAAAGATATATTTTCTATAATTAAAAATACTTAGCAGCAATGCTGCTTCTTTTCCTAACAATACTAATAATACTATTTGCTAGTTAACAACGAGTAATTTATTAGTTAACAGTGTGGATACTGCTGTTCACTGGATATCAGATTGAATTTTACACTTTGTTTAAATTTAAATTAAATCCTCCTCTCACCATCTCTCTTTTGCCCACATTTATCTAACTGTATTTTTGACAATCTGCCTTTTTGTACAAATCTATCTTTCTCCCTAAATGCCCATCTGTATTTATTTATCCATCAACCTCTTTTTTATCCTATAACTTACATAAACAGATGAAGAGCCATCACCGCGACTGCTGGTTGACATACTACTGTACGTAGAGTCCTCGGTGTATTTCTTACATCCTAGACTGAGTACCTCAGCACGAGAAGATCGACCATTTTGAGGACCATAATGTGGCACCATTATTAATTTGAAGTGTGTAGTTTCTTCCTGTCTTTCAAAGTCATGTGGCTTCCTTTTGTCTGAAAACAATTTAAGTATTATCATTTTATTTATATATTCTGTGTTACTTCGTTAATAGTCCTTTCCAATTTCAGATTTTTCAGGTATAGTTTCAGTAGTTAATTATATTTAAAAAAAACAGGAGATCGTCATGGAAAACTAAAGCTAGACAACATTAGGTAGACAAAAAAAAGAAAAGAAAATCAAAATTGCTCTTGGCATACTTTGTAGAGCTGTTTATCTCTTTCGTCATTAAGTAGGGTAGTACTTAATAGTAGGGATCGTGATGAAACAAAATGATGGCCATAAAAATAGCCAGTTTAAAATCACCTTTAAAATATCTGAATATTAACAATGACTGTTTCATAGTATTGGCTGAGGAAAACTAAAGCATATTGTACTTATAAAGCCGCCTTAATCGTTATATGTGTGTTTGTGGAGTGAATCAAAATTTCACTATTTCAATGAATTTTCATCGACGTAAGTAAGTGTCTTTTTCCAGACAAGCGAACAGAAAAAATTACGAAACTTATCGCTCTACTTCTTTCACACAACTCTT